CCAGGTAAGCCTGTACAGAAGGCAGAGCATAGCGCTGTGGGGGCAAGCACTGCATAACCATGCTGTGCCAGAAAAAGGCAGAAAGAAGTGGTAGAGAAAACAATCAAGAGAGTATTTAGAATAACAAATTTATAGTACTGTAATTCACTAAGCTTTGCTTCTGTGGGTTTGATTTATTTTTTAAAAAGTGCCTTTTTTTTTTTTTAAAGGCATTGATACAAATTACTACTACAATATGATCTTTAAAGAGAGAGGTTGAGCTACAGTACCAAGTATCTGGGCTCCAGTAATATACTTCACATGGTCAGATTCTGTTAAATCCAGTATTATTGTGCTTTATTTGCTACAGCAATGGAACTAAGAAAGTCAGGCATATACTCGCACAATGCTGGGACTGTTCATTTGGCCATGCTATCATCATCTTTTTAGAAAATGCCCTAGATCTGCGTGTAGCAGTCTGTCTCACTTGTTCTGTAAATGTTGGCCTCATCCAGATTCTCATGTTTTCATTCAAAACATCCACTTGCTGTTTTGAGATTTACAGGATGTACTAATAGCAGATAAAATACCGGCTCCTCTATGATGTTTCAGGTGGCTTGAATTTGGATCTGTCCCTGTAATACTTCTTTCTTACTGCATGCATTTCTGTGTTCTGTGGCTGAAACTATGTGAATTAGCATGATATCTCTTCTGCCTGTTACCAGTGTTTACAGGATGTGGAGGGAATGGTATTATATTAAGACTCCAACAAGGTCAATGAAAGCTATAGATCCAGAAATAAGTCATGACATTTTTAAAAATCTTACCCAATATTACTGGGTTTTTTTAGGAGCAGCCTATAATGGAGAACAATAGCAATGTGTTTTCAGCCAGCATGTGGAATGCTGTTTATGGAAAGTCCCTTCCCTAAGCTCTATGCCATTTGCGTCATTTCTTAACTATGTTTTAGCTTGGAAGTGTTCTATATTGAGGAGTCTGTATAACACAAAGCATAAGAGATACTATACTTTCTGGAATTCTGAATGGCACAACAAACTGCAGTGGTAATACAGGCAAGCATTTCACTGGAAAATCATGTCCAACAAGGACTGTGAGTCTGCAATTTGATTCTTTTGAGACCTTTACTCATCTAGGTATCCCAGATGAACATAGTGAGATCTGAACAAATAGCTGTTTGCAAAATTTACTGCTTCTCTGTTAAAACAACAAAAAAACAACCAACCCCAAACCCACAAACCAAACACACACAAAAAACCCCCACCCAAACAGACCAAACCCAAAACCCCCTCCCTGAGGGGTGGGAGGAGGATAATAGCTCAAGTGTCCTGTTTTCTTGAAATTATAGGAATAAAGTAGGAACTGAGTGGTCATAATTCCATACTGTACTCTTTTGTACCAGTATGACACTTTGTTTTCTGTATCGGTGTGGTCAAGATACACACTGTGAATTAACACGTGTATCAGATCATTTTATCACCTCATATTGGAAGACTTGGCTGTTGTGTTACACTTTCTTTTGATAGATCAAGACGATTAGGGTTTAGCCACTGAAGTCACCCACATATTTCAGAATAAGCTAGGTATTCTACATACGCTAAATTAACCTTTCAAACATGGAGGGAGATTCGTTTGTCAAGCATCTTTGAGCAAAATAAGCAAAAGCTATTCACTTAATCTCTGAAGTTTATGAATTAAACCCAAACAAAACTACTTGTCACTAATAGACCAATTAAGTACATATGAAGGAAGCTAATTTAACAGAACTGACATGCACATACGCATTTCCTATTAGGCTATAATGTGAAGTGTTCTTAAGAAGATCTGCTTTAAATGATTAACACTCAATGCGTTTCGACTATACTTTGAATGCATATGCAGGAATTGAGTGTGTCTGCAACATACCCAAAAAACACTCCTTATAAAGTGCTAAGAGAAGTTGTTGAAATAAAATACTTGAGGTAGGTACACTAAAGATGCTGTTTGGCCTGCAGAAAGGCTAGGTGAGCAATTTCTACACAGAAAGTGCTGGAAGAAAATAAATTGTAGAAGATGATGTCTGTGTATAGAGGCATGTATGTGATTTTTCTTTCATCTGAAAGGATCACCTATTTAATTAGGCCTAACTGTGCCAAGTTGAGCAAGAATTGCTGCTGCGCATTCCAGGATTATGGCCAGGGAAATACTTGAGGGGAGGGAGGAAGAATTGCTGTACCATTAACTTGTTTGAACAGGTGAAGTCAAAGGTATTTTTTTTAAGATTGGTCCTCTTAGGCCCATTGAATCAGGAAACCCAAAGCTGAAGAAACTGTAGATCTGCTTTTTCATCTAACTCTACAGGTCAAATCTGAAAACAGTGTAGATAACGAGTGTCATAAATGAAATTCTGTAGCTTACTGCTTTATGGGAAAATGAAAGCAGTAATTTTTGACTGTTGGTAGCACTCTCTTCAAAGACAGCAAAGAAATGGGTAGTGTGCACTCATACATAGGTAAGGAAAGACAGGAGTGGAATTTAAACCAACCAAACTGTTTAGGGATTTGTTGGTGATTTTGAGACCTAAAGCAACTTGTGAAGTCATTAAATTGTTCTATGCAAAACAACAGTGCTTCTTAGCACTTTATTTGCTGTATTTGACATGAACAAAGTTGTCAACAGATCTGGGTTGCCTTTTCTCATGGTAGCTGTTAAGCACACAAGATTCTTGACTGTGCTTTCTGCACTATCGGCCCAGAAATGATACTCTTGGTTCTCAAATTTTAATTCAGAGTGTATCTGTGGCAGCATCAGTGTTCATCAGAAAGTCAATAGGCAAAATAAGACCGGGTGTTCTTCAGCGTAGTCTGTTTCATGTAGGTCTGGTGGTGTTCCTGCAGCAGACAATACACAGCAGCTAATTCGTATGTAATTTGTTGGCTTAGAAAAGGTGATTAGAAGAACGTTGAGCTGGAATAATAATATTAATCTCAATAAGGTTCAGGAACAAGCAGATGAACAAAGTGGTATTTGTGAGGCTTTATGCTTACTTGTGAACTTATTTATGAACTTGATAACTGAACACAGAAGACATGATCAAAAATGAAAAGGGGAAAGGGAAAGTAACTCCCATCAAGAAAATACCATGTGTGGTGTATTATAACTTCTATAGTCATCTTGTACAAGATAATATTGCAAATACCAGTTGAGTTTTATCCTTACAGGTAGTGTAGGTGCAAGACCAGTTATGGATTGATACTCATATTACCGACAAAACTGAGTGTATGTTAGTGAATGTAATAAACCAGTAGAAACTAAATAGAATCAATAGTTAAATCTGGTCAGGATTCATAGGCATAAAGGACTCGCAAATTCTCTGCAATGGCTCTAAATCAACTAGAAGCAGCACAGACCAGACCATTAAAACTGTAGCACAGTATTGCAGAGGATGCACCTGAAAGATAATATTATTTTTGTATTAAAAACCCTTAAGTTTTGTTTGAGATGCTACTGCAGCTGCTAAAGTACACAGTTAACCTCCTAACATACCTCTGCTTTTTACGGAAAAGGTTGATCATGAAGACATCTATGTTGATGAGAAGTGTACATTTTTCTGTGATACCTTAGTTGCATACAGAACATTAACCTACTGAGACTGAGATAAGGAACAGACGGCTATGTTATGTTTAGGGATCTACCTTTTTGTCTCCATTTCAGTAAGTCTCTTCAGTGAAAGAGAAATCAGTAGAGGTACTGGCTCAGGTTATTATGAGGTATAGCTGCAGCATGCTGAAAATCTAATATCTTGAATTCCTCATTTTGTAAGTGATCTAGATTTTCAGGGGGGTACTGTAATGCTGGTGAATAAATCACTGGATGCAACTTGTCATGCCCAGAAGTGGCTCCATATTTCAAAACATCTGTAGCTTGTTGCAGCTGTGGTACCAGTGTCTGCCTCTCTTTACTGGAGTCACGTCAAAGCTTTGATTTCTATATGTTGCACCCTTTTCAATCAAATGTTTTCTGTAATGACCCTCATTTTTTTTTGTCATAGCATCCTGGCAACATCTTGTAGGGCTGCTCTAATGTGGCAGGTAGCTGCTCAAACTGGCCAGTGCATCAGCTGAGAGCAAATCAAAGCATTCCCTACTCATCTCCACTGACTGTCACATCTGCTCAGAGGTGCACACACTGCAAATTTGAGTTGTACAGTTGCTGTGCTGCTGGCACAGACCGTGACCTGACTGTCCCATTAATGATAGTACTCCATTATTTCCTGTCTTTCACTAGCCAGATAGTCTGCAGTTTCACTTACCACTGCACACTCAACAATTCTGACTGAAATAGCATTTTCCCCTTTCATGTCAGGTAAATCTGATGTTGCATCACTGAAGTTGGTGAGTTTTGCTACCTGAAAACTTCTATTAATTATGGCTTAGTCACCCTAAGATTCTTAGGCAGAAAAAAAAAAATCTATCCTTAACATTTTTCTCAGTAAATACTTGCAGTTCTGCTAATTTCTTATAGTTTAAGCCAGGGACAACCCAGTTCTTTGGCTTGCAGAGGGATCAAACCAGGATCTGAATCCACCACCTACTTAGATGCAAACCCAATCCTAAGAAAGATCTTAAATGCAAACTGCAGCAAAACTGAAGTACTTCAGTTTCAGGGTTCTTCATGTATTTTCCTTTTAGCTTGGTGAGGTATACTCAAAACACCTAGATATTGGCTGCCAATATAAAAATACAGTATTTGTGGGATTCTGTTATAGCACAATAAATCAAAAGGCAGCCCAGCTGGCCTGTATATAGAGATCAATATAGCATTTCAATAATAGCATCATTATGTACTGTGTCTATAAAGATAGAACAAACTGTCAGAATGAATTCTGGACCTGAGCTGAAAGACTGGTACATGAATGACATTTCAGTATGTGAGTGGAGCTTGAAAAGGCTGTTGGTTATTTTAGAAACCTGCCATATCTATTATATTATAGTCAGTGTACAGATTAAACCAAAGATACTTACCTTCTTCTTTGATCTCTCTGACTTCTTGGAAATGTTCTTTACTTTTGTATGGAGATGATACAAAACCTTGGGGGGGAAAAAGGAGCAATATATTGAATAGGAAATTGAATTGTGTATATTAGTATTTAAACTTCTTGTACAAGCACCAAAAATTAAAAGAATTGTTTTAGCATGACTTGAACCAAAGCTGAATTTGATATTTTGACACTTTTAATTCTAAGCCCTCTACAGTTCTTTCTCCTTTGAGAAACAAGGTTTGGAAAAAGCATTTGCCGCTTTGCAAAACCGCTATGCTTCCAAGTTCAGCATATATTGAAAGCTCAGCTGGCACTATGCTGAAATCCACAGGAGTCCTTCCGTGGATTTTGAATTTTTACATTGTGCCTCAAATTATCTACATTTATTCTCTAGGTTGATTATATACAAAGGCAGAGAGCAGGTTGCCAGTACAGTATCACAGTGTGACTGTCCTGCCGCTCCTGAATGCAGCACTAACAAATGGGGCAGTTGGAGTGAGTTTTCCTTTTAGAGGGAGAGTCATAAGAAATGTTAGAGCACTGTAGGGAA